CTCTCCACCCCACCCTTCCCCACATGATTCCTTAGGTGGTACAAAGGTCATGAAAATGGTGGGTTAGAGAAGAGATGTGTCAATTTTGAATATGACATTAACTTTGAAAAGACAAAATAAATTAATGTGAATATAACATGGTTTAATTACAAATATGAATTCTTTGATGTTGATATGGCAAATTAATTTAGGGGAGATCAATTTCCGAAGAGTTTTATTAAGAGAAAAGTAAGTCTTACTTTTTTATAGTATCGAGTTCACAAGTTATACGTTTATAATATACGCATAAAGAAAAAAGAATATAAAAAATAAATATAATTTAACATGACTAAATCGACCCTTCTAACTCTCTATCTCACAAGATCTCTACTCTTGTGAGATGGACAACTTATTCTCACCAAAATATTCGAATGTGTACATCAAAACACCATCGGTGGATGTAATGAAACACATGACGAATCTCATTGTAAACGTTTTTTCATTGTCACTTTACTTTCCCTCTCATGACTTGGATTGAGAGTAATGGTTTTGAATGATGAGCTGGTTAGCCGGCCAATGAAAAAGCAAGTTGTCCCTTTGGGTTTGCTTTGGCGGTCCGTTATACATAGACAACAAAATATTACAAAAGCCCATGACAGGCTTCGTATAGTATGAGTGATTTTCTTTTCTTTTTTTGTGATTTAAAAGTCAGGAGTGTTCGAATCAATTTATTTATATCTCGATTATGATATTTATGAAAAATAAATCTCTCATAATCTGATTCAAAAAAATTATCAAAATTTAAATCAAAATATTTAAATTTAATTCACGTTCATATTACTATTTGAAATAACTCCTAAAATTTTCTAATTTATTGAAAATAATGTGTTGTTTGTGGTTGTCTCTATCTCACATAGGACAGCTAAACGGTTGGTTAGTCTATTCCTCAAGCCTTTTGTCAAGGGTCACGTACAAAGCTATCAATCAATTATTAGTACCTTCATTTGTGAGTTACGAGAAGGAAAAACGTGATGCTTTGGTCATGCCAAGAGTGTAGCTTAAGTAAGGGTTGGAGATGGGTTGCGGTGCGCTCTAATTTTTCGGGTCAATGAGACATGGGCCCATGACCCGTTTAATAGGCTAGCTTTATTTGGTAATTAAGTCCATTTTGAGTTGCTTACCCAAACAAAAAGTTCACCCTGAGTATTTTTTTTAACCCTTATTGGTTGCTTTAAAGTTATAAGAAGATTCCTAATTCATTTAAAGAGCAGATTCTATAAATGTCGATATTTTTTACGTTAAATAGATTCACATAACTGGTTTATCTATTTGGAACTCACCCTTTATTGAACTATAATGAGTCTAGTCTTTTATTATGGATTGGCTCGATCCAGCCCGTTGACCAGTCAACAGCCGATCCTGGACCGTTGAAAACCAATGCTATCGAATTTAACGGTTATTGATGATATTTGATTGAGATGGGCAAAAATACCAGGTGAGATGATCTAAACCGGAGTTTTACAAGTCACAAGGTTTTGAAGTGGGAGAATTTCTTTTGATTTATGATCAAAGAAAAGAAGGTTGAAACTTTCGAATCAAGTTGGCGGCAAAATAGAACTAGAATTGATAATCGATTCAATCTACTCAACCTCAGCTTGAATTCGTTTCGTATAGAACTTGACTCGAATTTAACACGTTTTCTATACGAAAACAAACTTAAATATTTTTTAAAACTCGTTTAAAAAATCAAGTTTAAAAGACTCAACTCTAACTTTATAATATTAGCTTGTTTATATGTAAAATAGTCGAACTACTTCAACTCTTAACTCAGGTTCAACACATTTTGGGCTTGGCTCGTTTAAAAAATCGAACTCGACAAACTTGATTTACATTTATAAAACTCAATTCGATTATCAACCCTAATCAAAACCCACCCATTTGTCTCCAGATTAGTGTTTCCCTTTGGTTGAACTTGAAAAACCAAATTTGTTAACAAACAAGGGAAATATTTGGCAATTTTTTCAAACCTCCCCGGATTTAGCCTAACCCCATTAAGAGAGGCTAAATCTCAAATTTGAACCAACAAGGCATCGCTTAGGATGAGCTCGTTATCACTCACAGTACATTGGTTATGTAGGATCCGGAAAAGAAGTTGCAATTCAATCTTGTGAACTAATCGAGACCAAAATTAGAGAAAGAGATTCAACCGGAAAAAAATAAACAATCAATGAAAAGAACATAAAACCATTTTGTTTTAATAGAGGTACGAGAAACGGTTGGAGGCCATAAAGTAGGGTCAAGTGGTTGAATTTTGTGAGCTGTTCCAACATCTGATAGAACGGCAATAACATACATTTGATCCCTAAAGATACTAATAGAATAGTACACAATACTTCTCAAAATGGCTATCAACTAAAAGAAAATTGGGGTGTCAAGATATATACGCCAACAGAAATCCTACTCTGCAACTCCAATGAAGGTTAAACAGTAGAATTTTCATGATATGGCTTTTTTTTGCCTGAACCCCGGGCTAGCGATGCATGGAGCATCGCCCAAATTTTCATGATATGGTTGAAGTTTCTAATTTTGCCAAATAAATTCTAAACCAACGCAAAAGAAAATTATTAAGGAATTGCTGTTCTTTTTTCGAAGCGAGTTAAGAAGCTCCATGTATCACATTATTTACATGTTCAAATACAGGTCAAGGCCAAAGTTCAACACTTCATATTTAACTATAACAACAGCACGATTAAAAGGTTTCACAAGAAGTAGCAATATGAAGGACGTAAATGAAGAAGAGAGAAGGATTCAATCATACTGCTTCGGCAAATCCAACTGTCATATTACCATAGTCAAACACCGTGTGGTAGTAACCCATGAAGACATCTCCCAAAATCCTGGATCACATGAACAAAAATTCAGTAAAGCCCTGTGGAAGCACAACCTACAGTAGAGCTACTTACTATAGTGTCCATATATAGTGATATAGCTATGGGAAAGCAGCAATGGGAAAAAAAATACCAGAGAGGTCCACGAGGGGGAGGCACGTCTAAAGCTATAAAACCACTTATGCATTGTGCTGCAGCNAAAAAAAATTGTGGAGGGAAACAAGGGCAAGAGAAGAGAGTGGAGGCATTTTCCATCTTGTTGCACAGTGAGACAAGACGTAAGGAAATGAACATAGATTATGATGATGCAATTAGTTTTCTAAATAAAAAATGTAAAATCCTGGGCATTTAATATGAGGATCCTTGGGGTATTACTCTAAAGATTCAGATACACTGTATTGAATGAATGCAAAACTAAACCAGTCACAGACAAAAATATAAAATTCATCCAACTATGATGGAGATTACAATCTAGGTGATGAGAGAATGACAATTACTACAGTGAAGCATAACCTATGGATACAAAAGTTTGGTTCAAGCCACACAGCATTAAACAAATCTGATTGAGGGTTTAGTATTTCAAATAAGGAAGTCACTGATGACAAAACATAGAACATGACGTATAACTCACCCTAACACTAGCTCAACTTAAGTTTAAACAATACTGCAAGATATATATGATACCAAATCGGTAAGTAGAGATTAACTCGCCCTACCACCAACACAACATG